TAACTCAGATTAAAACACAAATTTCAGGATATACTGCTGCTATGGAATTACATAAGAAGTCGAAAGATGAAATAGTAAGGACTCCTTCAAAAAGAAAAGTAGGGTCAACGGTGAAAGCGATTCAAAAAAATTGTTATAAGAGGAGGAAAGTAAAAAATGTAGTTTCCGACATGATCGGAGAACATGCAGTTAATGAAGAACAAGACGAAGTCAGTGAAGAATTAAAGGTATATACATTTTTTATTTTTTTTATTTTTTTGAATAATTTTTGCATATGTACATGCAGTGTACTTTAATTTATAAAATTTACTTAAATGAATATAGTTTTTGATTATGATATAGTATTTATGTTGTTCAATGATGGTAATTGTAGTGTAGATATATACATGCATTTAATTTTGTAAAAAGTACATAAGTGGATACATCTTGTATGAGATATTTTTTGAGTAAATGTAGGCAGTGAGGTAATGTATACAGGTTGATGTAATGTATGCAGGTTGCAATTTATAGTGATGTATATTGTGTTATAATGTAATGAAAGTCGAACAACAAAGGTTACGTTGAGTATATAAGAAGAAAGTTTATTTAAAGATACATGTTTTATAATTACAGGGTATCAGATTCCATGTATTGGCTCGCCCAATTAAACCACCACGCATGCAGGTTTATGACCATAACATAGTCAAAGATTTGAAGGGGAAGCTTACAGCGACCCAATTCAATCATTTTAAAGATACATATTTTGGAGCATTTACAAAAATGCACATGTGTGGAGCGCAACCACAAATGTTTAGGTGTTTCATGGTATGTGAATTAGAGGACAGTTCCACTGATGAATTGTTGTTTCATATAAATCATACCACGCTCCGTTTTGGTATCAAAGGAATTTGCTATCATTACTGGTTTGAAGTGTTTTGGTAATAAAGATGATTTTTTATTTGATACAAGGAAGCCAAATAGATTAATCAATCAGTATTTTGAGGGTAAAAGTATTGTTATAAAAGTGGATTTGATCAGTAAGTATAAAAAAAAGGTTTGGGGTGGCAATGATGATGATGCTGTTAAATTCGCTATTCTGTATTTTATTTGTACGTTCATATATTCCGGCGAGAAGAAGAGCTCATCAATTCCAAGGATACATTTTGATCTAGTTGAGAGCGGCCGGTACCATGAATACCCTTGGGGGAAAGATGTTTTCTACAAATTGCTCAAAAGCGTAACAAAAAAAATGGATGAGAAGAAAAAGTATTATAGAATTGATGGTATGCCTCTAGCCATGCAAATTTGGATATATGAATGTTGTTCTGCGGTTGATTCGAATATTGCTGTAAAGAAGAGCAATCGTATACCCAGAATCGTCAATTGAATGACCAGAAACAGCAGAATACATTATGAATTCCTCATGGAAGGAATGTTCAGTGATAACGGCAATCTGGTAATTTAACATATTTTAATTAGTCAATTAGTATAGATTTTGTTGTATTTCAATATAATTTTTAATTATAAATATTTTTGTGTGCAGTTAAAATTCAAAAACATCGAACCTTCACTTAAAGAGATTGCATTTTATCAGCTTGAATCAAAAAGTAATGCAAACACAAAGAATACCTTTCAAATTGTTAGTGACAAAGATGATGATTTCACTTCAAAGCCTCCAAGTCATAAGCCACACAATAAAGAAAAAGGTAAACAGAAGGCATATGTTTTAAGATCCACATTGATCAAAAAGTCCAATTTGCATGCAGGTTCGAGGTTGAAAGATAAACGCCCCACAGTATTGAGTGGTTGTCGTAAGGCAAAGAGTACAACTTTAAATCCTGATTCAAATCCATTGGAGGATAATGTATCAGTACAGGAGATGCATAACCGTCCGGATGATTCTGCTAACCGTACACCACCAAGGAGTTCGAAAGAACCTCAAGATACCAAGGCAGATGAAATTGGTTTGCTGAGACAACATCTTGCATCCTTCAAGAATTATGTATGCAATACGTTCTATTTTTTTTTAGTTCACATTGTATTCCAATATAAACTTACATTCTATTTAAAAATAATCAGGTTAATTATGAGTTCAAGGAGTTGCAATTGTTGATAATGGGGAATTTTAGACAAGTTATGGATGCACTTAACAGAAGCTGTCGTGAATATGGAGCACCAAATCAGGTTAATTATGACAATATTAAATTAATACAATACATTTACATATACAAGTTACTTACTTATAATATCTCATTTTCTAATGGATAAAATACACAGGAAGATGCAACTGAATCTCCAAGTCATGTACCTAATTGGTCGAACAACAATCAGATATCAAATGTTATGGATAAACCTCACTGTGATGCAAACGAGGTACTATTTGAATAAATTATTTTTTGATTAGTTAGTAGTTGAAGGTGAAAAATGTTAAAAGAATACAAATAATAGTTTTTATTATAATATTGTTAGGTTCGAACACCTCGTTTCGTTCTTCAAGAACATGTCAAAATTAATGTCAAGGAGTATTTGCAGCCTGTTCAGATACACATACAAGACCCTTTAACGGTACATGAACAGCTTAACGACATTAATGTATTTCAGAATCATGACATCCAACAACCTCAGCCACAAATTGAGTTGATAGATGCTTTGTTACCTGATTTTGATGCAATCAATCCCAAAAAGAATGATGTGGTTCATTCAGAGGTTGTGGTCCATCCAGAGGGTGTCGTTTATGATACTACACCCGTGCCAGTTAAAAGGATCAGACATCCTGATCGATTGACAGGAGACGGTAATGTAATTCAGAACGACGGAATCCAACAACCTCAGTCACAATTTGAGTTGCTTGATGCTCTGTTACCTGATATTGACACAATATATCCCAAAAAGAATGTTGTCGTTCATTCCGAGGTTAGTGGTCCGTTCAGAGGGTGGCGTTTACGATAATACACCCGTGCCAGTTCAAAGTATCATACATTCTGATTAATTGATTTGCTCTCCTTAATCCACAAATATTGGATCATCATCAGGTAAATAACAATGTTTAACATACTTAGTGTCTTACCTGCCCCCTACTAATTTTTTTTTTTTACATATACGATTCTATAACAATCGTAGTGCCTAATACATATATGCGAAAATATGTTTGTTATAATTTGTGTGTCTGTATACTAAATATTTCAGGTAGCTCTTATGACGTGGTTAAAACTTATGAAAAGAAACATCCTTTTGTTTCTGACTTCATACAAGGGCCATATAATTATGATCTTTTCAACGATTACTGTTTGTGGCTTTCTGAAGGGCTTCTTGCTAGCCATATGAATAAGTAAGTATACATAATATATATAAATATATATATATATATATATAATGATTATGTAAACATAATATACTTAAATATTAATTAATTCTTATTTGTTATCAAAAGGATGCATGGTGAAGATCGGTATAAGAATAAAAAAGCAAAACTGGCGGTTGATATGGATTTGGGCATTCATCGAATATCAAACAAGAATTGGTTCTACTCTCTGTCTTATGATAAACAACTGCTGAATGATGAGGTAAACATATGAATTTAAACATAAAAAGTAGTATAAGTATTGTTCATATTTTTATGATGTGCTAATTTTGTACATTTGTTTTTTAATTGTTTACAGCATATTGATGTGATCATGTATTACTTGCGTAATAAAAGTAAATACAACATCAATAGTCGATACAGATACACTACTGTTGATTGTATATTCAAGTCAAAAATTTCTGAAATTTATGCTGCATATGCTCAAGTTGGAAGTAACTTTTGTGTTGCAAATGTTGAAAGCGACATACGTGATTACATAAAAGGATATAGGTTGATGGCTGCCATTCCATGGAATACAATCGACAATGTGTTCATACCAGTGAACGTGGAGCATAAAAATCACTCGGTGTTGGCTGTTTTGTCATTAATTGACAAACATATTTATGTATATGACTCATACAGAGCAGCAGGTCATAACTATCATGTTAGAGAAGAAATTCAAAAGCTTGCTCAGCTTCTGCCAATGTGAGAAGAAATTCAAAAGCTTGCTCAGCTTCTGCCAATGTATGTTTCAATGGAGATTGGAGATGGTTCGGATGATGCAGAAGATACCCACATCCCATACGACGTGACGTATGTGGAGGATATACCTCAACAAGGATCAGATTTTTTGTAAGTATAAAACAATCTTCGTTCAATTTTCCTAAAAAGTATCAGATTTTAAAAAGTAATGTATATTTTCAGGGATTGCGGGATATACTTGCTAGCATTTACTGAGTACCTAAGTGAGGGTAAAGGTATTCCAGTTAAGTATCTTGATTCTAAGTTACACCGTATCAGATACGGTGCACTCTTGTGGGAATATGCAATGGAAAAGATGAAAGACGGGGCTGTTAGCGATAATGAGGCACCACCAAGAAGAATGAGGACACCCGCAAGGATTGATAATAGTCAACTTGTTGTGATTGATTAATATTTCGTACTAGTTCTATTTTTTTTTGAACTTATGGTAAAAACTAATATTTTGATTTTTTGTCAAACATTATCAACTTTTCTTTATATTCATATATGATCACATTAGTTGTTTTAAATTTATTTCTGTGTTATTTCATAATTAATTAGATGTACATGACTTGCCATGATTTGGCTTTGGCATCGGTGAATTAGTCAATGGATTATCAACAAAAAATTAAGTGACCCCATTTTTACATGTATAAACATGGCATCCATGCACATAACGAGGCGATCCCACAAACAGTTTTTAACAGTCTACATATTGAGAATCAATGTCAAAATACATATACACTTATACCAAAGAAATTGATTCCAAAATTTGTATCAAAGTAATACTTACATATACATAACTAGCTATACTTACATAATTGATATCTTATTTAATAAATATTTCAAAATATTCAAAAGGCAAATAACTCATCATTCCTTATTCAAAATAACAAAAATTAACTACAAGAAATTTAATAGTGTCATGTAACAATTTCTATGCATTTCGTGTTGCAGTTCGACATGAACGCCTATTATGACCTTGTTGTCCACATGTACTACAAGAATTGGTACCCTTCCTTTTGCTCAGCTTGCTAAATGACTTTTCACGTTGCTTTTTTGGCCTTCCTGGAGGTCGCTTGAATTTTGGTGGCAACACAACTTCGGTAGCAATGTGTTCAGGTATGTTCCGTTCACCTTTGTCAGGTAGAGGATATATAGGGACTTCATATGTTTTCAATATTGTTCCTCGCTTATAAAATTCTGAACAATATTCTTCCGGAAGCATGCCATTTTTATTCAACACACTCCACGCATGTGAGCACGGTATACCGTCAACTTGAAACATGTTGCAACTGCATGTCTTTTTTTCCAAGCATACAATATAACTCTTCCCTTCATCACTTACGGAATAAACGTAATTAGTTGACGGGGCAACCTATAATCAATACAGAAATTCAATTATACACTTTAATATTAAAGCAAATATTTTTGATTACTAAAATAAATGAATACACAATCCATTGAACAAGAATTTTTTTTCAATATACATACCATCATACGCCACGATTTTGATTCATTAAGCAAAAGCATCTCTTGAAACTTCTTCCCAAGCAGTGTGAAAGTGCATGATGCATTTTTCTGATTTGTGCAATTCCATCTAGCAAACATCAATCGCACTTGTTCAAGAAAGTCAAATATTGGTAATTCTCTTGCTGCTACTAACGTCGAATTGATGCACTCTGCAATATTCGATGTCATAACCCAACCACGAGGAACTGGTGCATACAACCTTGCCCACTTCTCATATCCAGCCATCTCCAAGTAATTCTTAACCCTTACATCAAACTGCTCAACTCTTTTCATTAGCTTATCAAAATTACTTTGAGTATATGCCATTGCCATAGTTTAGAATACTTCACTCAATTGGTCAATTGCTTTTCGAAAATTCTTACATACATTAGCCCACAAGTGCCATATGCAGGCGTAATGTTGGACATTGTTGTATACTATAGATACAGCCTTAATTATGCTATTATGTCGGTCAGATACTACACACATATTCTCTCTTTCTCCATAGGCTTCTTTGAATTGTTCAAAGAACCATGTCCAAGAAGCATCATTTTCCGAATCTATAACTCCGTATGCCAAAGGTAATATATTCCCTGTTATAATATACAAAAATAGATGAATAACAAGAAAAATAAAAATAAATTAAATTGTATGTATGTATCCAAATACCTGCTCCATCCATAGTGCTGGCTGATACGAATGCACCAGTGTATGCTGATTTGAGGTGGCTGGCGTCTACAACAACAATTGGCCTGCAATGATCAAATCCCTTTATAAAAGCATCCAGCGCTATAAAAACATACAAAAATTCGTCATTAGGTGTTTTCTGCATTCGTATATGTGAACCAGGATACGTCTTATCCAACGTATACAAGTATCCTGGTAGCTTCCCGTAAGACGCAGCTGGTTGCCCCATGATAGATTCTAATGCCTTCTCCTTTGATCGCCATGCCAACATGTAATTAATATCAATACCCAAATCCAACTTAATGTTATCTTTAATATCATTTGGACTGTACTTCCTCTTATGATTCCTCAATTTAGGTGCTATTATTCCTCCAATCAACGAACTTGTTGCTCGACAATTTGAATGCACTCCATCCTTCAAAGGACATGTATGTTCAGAGTTAAAAACTCTAATTCTGAACATTTTTGACTTGTTAATACTTGACGCTTTCATTAACCACGTGCATTCTTTAGATTGACATACAAGAGTATAACTGCAAATACCATTTATAGTTTGATTTTAGTTTTGAGTTGCATCTTCAAACATATATAAATAAACGTAATATGAATAAATTTAAACATAATTTACCTAATAGAGTTTGACCTCTCCACCAAGAATTTAAACCTTTTTTCGATTGAATATTTTTTCATCACATCTTTCAATGTCGACTTATCCATGTATATCTGATCCACCATTATCTCCTTTTGCGATCTGTTAGTGATTATTAAATCATTTTCAACATCAAATGCATCTACTGTTTGATCGCCAAATGCTGGTACAATTGCTAATGGATCATCCTCACTATTTAATTCTTTATTGTATTCAAGTTGCAACACATCACTTTCAATAGAAGTTTCTCCAGAACCAGAATATACAATACCAATATCGTAAATACTAACACACAGGGGATATACTCCAATTTGAGTATTCATTTTTTTCAACTGAACATATAGGCGCACACCCATGTCGTTACGTATTTCCATAGGCGTGTCGTCACCTTCGATAGTGTATTTAATCTTCATACACTTCTTTGTAAGATCAACGTTCAATTGTACGGAAATCACATCAACTAAATCAGAATATGAAGCATATTCCTTCAAAACAATCCCGTCAATGTTGTGTTCCACATAACAATTCTCATCGCTCCATTTTCCGGAATGGCGAATTAAAACACAGATTGTTGCCATTTTTTTCGTAATTTTTTTCCGGTAGTACAGTGTATAAGAACATATTCTGCATATCTTCATTTTTTTATATGTTGACAAGAATCCTATTATGGAAAGGTAAGTTACAAGTTGAAAGTGCCAAATTAGTGGGCTACAAAATAGGATTTTCAGTCACATTTAAATTCCAGTGTATTTTTATATTTTTTTTAAAAAAACAATTAGCCAATTTTTTAAACAAACTGTAGCTATTTTTTTTAAATATGATAAATATAGTCATCTCAATCTTATAACCCTCAAACTATAGCTATTTATGTAAGTATTACAATAAATATAGCATCATATACAAACTGATTTACTTAACTTTCTAATGGATAAATTATCTTATTAGATATACATCACTACCATATATATACTAACCTTATATATATCATCAAACAATTAGATATATTACCACTTTTAATATTTATATCATATAATATTGAAGTTACATTCAAATACCCGCATCCATAAAATTGGGATTGATTATCGATTTTTACAGATGAAATCCACAATTAACGTTCTAATAACAATCAAATATTTTTCTCTCTCATCAACCTCCCACACTCTCCAACTTTATGAGTATATATAAGAGTGTGTGTGTATATATATTCTTACAATATCATTGACTAATAAGTTATTTGTGCACAAGAATCCTTAATGATACCATAAAATATATATATACTCTTAGTATCATTGATTAATGACTAATTTCTGAATAAGAAACTTTGATGATATCACAACAATATACATATACTCTTATACCATGATTGACTAATGAGTAATTTTTTAAAAAGAAACTTTAATAATACAAATAGTATACAAATACAATATATGTGTGTATATATATATATATAACTTGATATATATATATATATATATATATGTACACACACACACATATATATATAATGATACCGATACAGAATATGATATTGATTTCATATTAATTAAGCGAAAATTATCAGTCTTAATAATATCAATACAATATATGATACTGATTTAGTTTTATATAAGCGAAAATAATCAGTTTGAATGATATCAATACATTATATAATACTGATTTAGTATCAGTTAAGCAAAAATTATCAGCAATGAAAGATATGGGTTGTAATTATTATGAGATATTGGTATTTTAGGGATTGCATTGGATTTGGGTATGAACTTATTATTTTGAATTTTATGGCCCATTTATGTAGTTTATTGTATTGGGTATGAACTTATGAGCAACTTACAAAAATGACTATATTTATAGGGTTATTGAATTTCAATAACTATAAATATGTTATTTACTAGAAATGACTACACTTTGTGTCAATTTTTAGCTGCATGTTTGTATTAAATTTTACTTATACAATGCACTAAATAAGGTATGATATGTTACCATAACTTTCAAGTACCAACTATTTATTATGTTCCTAAATAACTGAAATTTCAATTATTAAATTGTCAACTAATAATTATATATTGCATGCAAATATGATTAATTCACATAATACAAAAGGTTGTATTTATATTGCTAAATACAATATATTCACTAATACTAATCATAAAGGTATTCATAAAATTTTGAATATAAAAGTTTATTCATGTCCTTTCTCGTTGTATTTTTGTATATGTTTTTTTTTTATTTATACACTAATACAGTTGTAATTACAATAACTAAATAAGAAAAATGTATTACTTGTACAATTAGCATATGAATACTTTGAATTCAAATTGGTGTTTCTATTTATAAAACTTAAAGTATTAATATATCAAGGATACAAATTTATAAAAATTTAATGTATTAATACATCAAACAAGGCAAAGTAGTATAACTTTAGCATATGAATACAACAATTTGAAAAATGGATACATTATTGTTAACCAAAAAAATGAATACACTAATATACTATAATATGAATACACTGTTGTTAAATAAGAAAATAGGAAAACAATAGAATGTGTATGAATCAAAGCGTGTAAGTATTCGACTATATAAAATATTAAAAAAATCAAGAAAACGTCGATCTTTTTTTTGTGAAGTTTTCTATAATACTTGAGGCTTGACGTTAACTTAGGTATTTATTTATAAAAATATAGTATTGATGTATCCAACTATACTTGTATTGCCTAATTAAATTGGATAAATTACTTATGTATCCAAATATATTTGTATTCACAAACCAACATTTTATTAATACTACAATACAAAAATCTATGTATATAAATATTATTAAATATAAATATTCATTTGATTTACCACAAATATTAGTATAAATATAAGTATAATGAATTGAACCACAAAAATCACTCCTATAGTCATACAAAAGGATCTTGAATTGGAAGGAATTGGGGAAAAATACAAAAAAATCCGTAATATAAGGATATTGATGAAGAGAAGGTATGAATACATAATTAATTATGAATTTAATAATAATTTTCCTATTTATTATTTATATATATTAAATATAAAAAAGCTGATTATTGATATATAATTAAATTTGCTATTTAATGTATAGTTATAGTCATATAACATAAAAAAATTAAACTATAGCTATATTATTTAAATGTACATTGAAGTTTGCCATATTATGTAGTTTTTCATTTTGAATTTTGTGGCCCATATATGTAGTTTATCCATTCTGTTGTGCTACACAAATAGACTCGAAATTCAGAGAAACAAATATTAAATTCTGAAAAGAGAAGTAGTTCATTTTGTTGTTGCTCGAAAATAAATGGAAGAAATTGATTCTTTTATTAATTTTTTTAGAAGTTGTTAAACTAGGTATACTAAAAGTTGTTAAAGGAGTGATTTCCTCCTTAAATAAGAATTTTAGCTACGATGCTTAATTAAACATGTATCCTTCTTTGTATTAAGATATCTGTATCAATCAATGAAATATGATATACGTAAAATATTTGAAACTATCTTGAATATTACTAATTAACACTTAAACTAGTAAAATTTATGTTATTTGCTCCTTTTTTATACCATGTCATATATAAAATGTATTAGTTTATGAAATTGGCATATAATATGATATACAAACTAATTCATTTCTCATTATATACGAACATATATTTGTGTATAGTGTTTTAAAAGGTAGAGGTGTGAGGCGAGACATTTTATACAGTATGGGACGAGGCGTAAGTCTCGAGAAACGAAGCTTAAGTCCCATGGATCTACGAGGCCTAGTCGCATGTATATTTAATTTTGTAGTTTTGTTACTAATAAAATAAGCAAAAGCAAACTTTTCAATGAATTATGATTTTTATGTGAGATAAGTATTAATATTCAATAATGAAGAAAAAAGGATTATCATTATTATTTGAGAAATATCATTACCACCAATAATAAAAATATGATTTAAAGCAAAAAAAAAAATTAAAAACGCTCGAGCGTACATTTTTACGCCTAA